GTCAAGATTTTCAATGCTTTTTGAGCATAATGGAGTCCAGACGACGTGTCTTTCATACAACAATACGTGCTACTCATATTCCCGTAGACTTCACCCAATAATCGCTTATCCGGGGTGCGAGATTGTTGTTCCTTTTCAATTGATTGTTGATAAAACGAAAGTGCTTTCGGATAATCTGTCATTGAATTATATGTGTTGCCAATATTATTGAGGATACTAGACAAAGTTGGACATCTAATCAAGAAATTCTGTATTCTAATCTTTGGTGAAGTATCGACTGCCTTTCGATAGTGTAAGAGTGCAGTCGAGTATTCTCCCATCAATCGATGTACTTCACCCATATTGTTGTATATGGCAGATAAAACTTCAATTGCAGATGAGTCTGGAGCTTGATGAATTTCAAGTGCCTTTTGAAAAATACGGGAGTGCAGTGGAATAGCGTTTCATCGACAGATACACTTCACCGATGTTGTTGTAGTTACTAATCAGATCGCTGATATTGGAAGGAAAAGAGTTTTGTCGGATTTTAAGAGACTTTTGAAAAAACGATAGAGCACTGGACCATTGTTCCATTAAAAAGTATACTTCAGCAATGCTGCTATAGGTGCTAGCTATATCTGGATGATTCGGTGGTAGAAGTCTTTGTTTGGCTTTAAGGCCTTTTTGATAAAACGAGAGTGCAGCCTGATATTCATGCTTCGTTTGATGCAAGAAACCCGTGTTTATGTACGCAACAGCTTTTTCTACGCATTTGAGAGAAAAGAGAGATTTCATATTATTTCAAGTATCTTACAAAAAAAACGAGTGCACCCTAAGTACGTACGGGCGGCAGTATGCGATTGTACTGGTGGAGAACCGTCTGTCGGTATTGAGCTACCACATCCCATCAGATTCTTGTTGGTGTCGATGTTTTATCTGTATAATGAATGCCATCGTCTAAGGTGCCCGCAATTCGAACTTCAAGTAAAACTTTTTTTCTGATTAATTCATACATGGTTGGATAGAGCGCGATGAGCTGAGTAAGAAAAAGTGGTTTTCAGTTTTGGAAACAATCTTTTACGGCTAAAAAATTTGAATTAGTTGAAGAACCCATGTTTTCGAAAAAACCGTTCATTTGCAAAAAAATCAGTTTTTTGCGGTTCAGAGTTCTTTTTAACTTTTTAAACTGTATTTTTCGGATTCAGCATTAAGAGCTGAATATAAAAACGATGTTTAATTGAATTCAAACTCAAAATTCGATTGAGCTTGGCTTTGTGAATCAACCCATGTAGAAATTGCAAAAGTTTTTCTGCGCGGTCACGCAAAAAAAATGCAAAAACATAAGTAGCGTAACGCAAAAAATGGTTACAAGTGTGAAATTCTGCAAAATTCTGTATATTCTTCTGAACAAAATATTTTCAAAATTCTGTATTAGTTCGACTAATACGGAATTTTGAAAATATTTTGTTCTATAACAATATACAGAAATTCGCATTTGTAACCATTTTTTACGTTACGTCGCTTATGTCTTTGCATTTTTTTTGCATTATTCACTTGATTCATGCAAAAAAAATTTTTTAGTTTTGGCGACATGGAAGACCATCGAAAATAGTACATGCCTCACTTGTAAACATATCTAGTTTTCTTGATGAAGAAATAATGCCATTTTTTCTGCTCATAATTCTCAAGTTTCCCCAACAGAACTCAACTTCTATGTTATAAAAATATCATATTCGGAGTCAGGATCAAAAATTTAGTCGACTGATGCATATTTCGAAACTTCTAGTTGACTTTCATCTTTTTGGTGAAAATCTCGACAATTTTTTAGTGTCAGAATATGATATTTGTCTAACATAGAAGTTGGGTTCTGTGGGAGAAAATTGAGAATTACGAGGAGAATTCTGACTTTTTCCACTCAGATTTAGAAAAAATGAATTTTCTCAGCAAAGAAAAACAAAGCGATAGATAATTTTGTATCGCACACACGATAGTAGCGTATCGTCAATTAACATTGTCATCCAATCTTTTGATTTAGTATCTTATTTGTTTTCTTCGAGTTGTCACCACCACAAGCTCGATAAATCAAAATGAACGAGAACAGTGGAACTGGACAACGACAAATTTCGCCGAGGATGGAAGACAATATTATCATTCATGATTCGCAACCCTCATCATCTCAGGAACCTTTACTAACTCGCAAACCAGCAAAACGAAGAGCGGTATGGTCATCGACATCGCCAAATGCTCCCGGGATATCGATTTTAACATTTCGTATGGATATTCCAGCTAATATATCATTTGCACCAGCATCAGAAGCAATATCAAACAAATTCTATACAACTTCACAGCAACCAGCTCCATTAGTTATCATTACTCTACCAGACTGAATGGTAAACAACAAGCATCTAGAGATCAATC